CCCTGTAACCTACCTTACCCTTCTATTGTCAACCAATGTCTGTTTTTTTCTTTAAAGAGCGCTGTTTGTCGACATAATTGTATTTGTGCTGCTTTTTCATCTATGTTTTCATTTCTTGTTTTCATTCTACTCATTATGCTCAATTAGTATTAAGCTTGTCATTTAAGTTTATCATGCCCGAAACGCTTTGCGTAATAGTGGCTTTAGGCATTGTATGTACTAGCTCTACCTATAAGTCAACCAATCCTTGTAAATATTTATTGTATGTATGTACCTTACCTAAATAAAATTGTATTGTATTGTATTGTATTGTATTGTATTGTATTGTATTGTATTGTATTGTACTATTACAAGAGGAGACATGATAACCACCTACAAAATTCTCAGGGGAATTGACAGGGTGGACAAAGACAAAATCTTCAGCACGAGAGGGACACGAACAAGGGGACACAGGTGGAAACTTAGTACCCGGATGAGCCACAGAGACGTTAGAAAGAATTTTTTCAGTGTCAGAGTAGTTAATAAATGGAATGCACTAGGAAGTGATGTGGTGGAGGCTGACTCCATACACAGTTTCAAATGTAGATATGATAGAGCCCAGTAGGCTCAAGAATGTGTACACCAGTTGATTGACAGTTGAGTGGCGGGACCAAAGAGCCAAAGCTCAACCCCCGCAAGCACAATTAGGTGAGTACAAGGTTTTGTTGAAGCTCTTCGTGTACTGCTGCTCTCAGATTGCTCATTGACAATCCAAGGTTACACTCAAAGTTTTTTCCTTTAAAGGCAGATTCTTTGGCTAACTTATCAGCTCTATCATGCATTCGGAGGACAACATAAGATGGAGACCACATGAAATGGACTTTGTTACCATCATTAATAATTTAGTTATATTTGTGTTTAGCTTCGGACACGAGCATGTTACAGTTATGTCTTAAAGAGTTGAAAGCATTTAAGGATGATAAAGAGTCACTTACAATTAATGTATCAAGTTTGGAGACTTGTACACATTTCACACATACATACATTTCACGCACACTTGTACACATAACTCAGTCGATTAAGGCAGCGTCCGGGATGCTCTCGGACGTAGGTTCGAATCCTCGTCACGGCCCTTGTGGATTTGAACATACATTTCAGTGCAAGGATCAAGGCAAATAGTTCGGTCTGAAGTGTAGAGGCCCATTTGTTTATACGGACTCCCCACTCAAATTATAAGCCATCGCCCATTGTCAGGACAACTGCACTTCCAGCTGCACCCGTGGTGCAGTGTAGGGAACCATCAGTGTATATGATTTGAGAGAGAGGAGAGGAGATGCTCTCTCTGTGGACAGAGCATCAATATAAAATAAAATAAAATAAAATAAAATGTTTATTTAGGTAAGGTACATACATACAATAAATTTTTACAAAGATTGGTTGACTTATAGGTAGAGCTAGTACATACAATGCCTAAAGCCACTATTACGCAAAGCGTTTCGGGCATGATAAACTTAAATGACAAGCTTAATACTAATTGAGCATAATGAGTAGAATGAAAACAAGAAATGAAAACATAGATGAAAAAGCAGCACAAATACAATTAAGTCGACAAACAGCGCTCATTAAAGAAAAACAGACATTGGTTGACAATAGAAGGGTAAGGTAGGTTACAGGGAATTTATTAGGTATAGCTTCGTTTTTAACTTAAACTGGTTGAGAGAGGTACAGTCTTTAAGTCTTTAAGTACAGTCTTTAAGTACAGTCTGCTATTAGGACAATATCCAATTCTGGCCCCAGACATCACTCGGTACCCCTACTCAAATCCCTGAATATGTTAGACATATACATTAAGTCACTGCACATTCTCTCATGTGTACTATACATATACAAAACGCTAAACTGTAATGCCAATCCTGATCTCAAAAGCTTCATAGAAGGTTGTAACAGAACCCATGAGCACCACACCAGAAATAAATACAGTTTTGATATTCCTAGAGTACGACTTAATCAAACCAGAAATGCTGTACAAATCAAGGGGCCCAGAATGTGGAATGACCTTCCCAACCATGTTAAAGACTGTACCTCTCTCAACCAGTTTAAGTTAAAAACGAAGCTATACCTAATAAATTCCCTGTAACCTACCTTACCCCTCTATTGTCAACCCATGTATGTTTTTTTTTTTTTTTGTTTTTTTTTTTCTTTTCAAATCAACGCTGTTTTAATGTAATTTTCTGTAATAATTTGTAATTGTATTTGTGCTGTTTTTTCAACAATGTTCCCCCCTCTTTTACCTCTATTTTTATTTGTACTCAACGCATTTTTTTCTTTTTACCCATTAGTTTTAAGCTTTAGTCAGTAGTGTTTTTTCCTGCCCGAAACGCTTTGCGTAATAGTGGCTTTAAATAAATAAATAAATAAATATGTTTATTCAGGTAAGGTACATACATACAAGTGATGTTACATTAATGGATTGATATATAGATAGAGCTAGTACATACAATGCCTAAAGCCACTATTACGCAATGCGTTTCGGGCAAGAAAAACATTAATAACTAGAACTTATTACTAATTGAGCATAAAGAATAAAAAATGTTGAAAACAAATACAAATAAAGATAAAAAAAAAGGGGGAACATGACTGAAAAAGCAGCACAAATACAATAGGTTGACAAACAGTGTTGATTAAAAAAAAAAAATAATAATAATAAAATAAAATAACAGACATGGGTTGACAATAAAGGAGTGAGGTGGGTTACAGGGAATTTATTAGGTAGTGTTTAGTTTTTATCTTAAACTGGTTGAGAGAGGTACAGTCTTTAACATGGTTGGGAAGGTCATTCCACATTCTGGGCCCCTTGATTTGTAGAGCATTTCTAGTTTGATTAAGTCGTACTCTAGGAATATCAAAACTGTATTTATTCCTGGTGTGGTGCTCATGGGTTCTGTTACAACCTTCAATGAAGCTTTTGAGGTCAGGATTGGCATTACAGTTCAGTGTTTTATATATGTATAAGACACAAGAGAGAATGTGCAGTGACTTAATATCTAACATATTCAGAGATTTGAGTAAGGGTACCGAGTGATGTCTGGGGCCAGAGTTGGATATTGTCCTAATAGCAGCTTTGTGTTGGGTAATGAGAGGACGTAAATGATTTTGGGTAGTAGAACCCCAAGCACAAATACCATAGTTGAGGTATGGATAGATGAGGGAGTAATAGAGAGTAACCAGGGCAGGGCGGGGTACATAATATCTGATCTTAGAAAGAATGCCAACAGTTTTTGAAACTTTTTTTGATATATTTAGAATGTGACCCTGGAAATTCAGCTTGTGGTCGATGAGAACGCCAAGGAATTTGCCATCTAATTTGTTACAAATTTGGGCATTGTATGTACTAGCTCTTATCTATAAAGCCAACAAACTTTGTAAAATCTCTTTATGTATGTACCTTTGCCTAAATAAAAATTATTATTATTATTATTATTATTATTATAACATGGTTGGGAAGGTCATTCCACATTCTGGGCCCCTTGATTTGTAGAGCATTTCTAGTTTGATTAAGTCGTACTCTAGGAATATCAAAACTGTATTTATTTCTGGTGTGGTGCTCATGGGTTCTGTTACAACCTTCTATGAAGCTTTTGAGATCAGGATTGGCATTATAGTTTAGCGTTTTATATATGTATAATACACATGAGAGAATGTGCAGTGACTTAATGTCTAACATATTCAGAGATTTGAGTAGGGGTACCGAGTGATGTCTGGGGCCAGAGTTGGATATTGTCCTAATAGCAGCTTTGTGTTGAGTAATTAGAGGACGTAAGTGATTTTGGGTAGTAGAGCCCCAAGCACAAATACCATAGTTGAGATATGGATAGATAAGGGAGTAATAGAGAGTCACCAGGGCAGGGCGTGTTACATAATATTTGATCTTAGAAAGAATGCCCACAGTTTTTGAAACTTTTTTTGATATATTTAGAATGTGTCCCTGGAAATTCAGCTTGTGGTCAATGAGAATGCCAAGGAATTTGCCATCTAATTTGTTACAAATTTGGGTATTGTTTATTTTGAGATTTATTTGACTAGAGGATTTATTGCCAAACAGAATATACAAAGTTTTGTCAATGTTAAGGGAGAGTTTGTTGGCAGTTAGCCAAAGATGGACTTTATTTAGCTCAGTATTTACTGTGGCATTTAGAGCAAGGGGGTCAGGACTGGAGTAAATGAAGGTTGTGTCGTCAGCAAATAGAATTGGTTTGAGGTGTTGGGAGGCATTTGGAAGGTCATTAATGTAGATGAGAAAGAGGAGAGGGCCAAGTATGCTGCCCTGAGGAACACCAATGTTGATGGGTAGGGTGGGAGAAATTGTATTATTCACAGAAACATATTGGAGCCTGTCAGTAAGGTAGGATTTGAGGTATTGTAGGGAGTGTCCTCTGACTCCATAATGATGTAATTTAAGAGAAAAATTTAAGAGAATATGGCTTAAGGCGTTGAGCTTTGCCTCAAGACGAAGCTTGGGCTGATCTCTAATTTGTTTCTTGGGTGGAAAGGGAGGGATTAAAATTGGAAAGGGTGTAATCTCCCACGGTGCAGGAAAGTGCGGCTGAGAAATGTTGACTAAACCACACACTAGAAAGTGAAGAAACAACGACGTTTCGGTCCGTCTTGGACCATTATTAAGTCGATTGTGAATCGACTTGATAATGGTCCAGGATGGACGACCAACACGTCGTCGTCTCTTCACTTTCTAGTGTGCATTTACGAAGTTCCCTATTGCGGCTTTAACCCATGGAGCCGCCTACCCGCCAAAGCCGTCGCTGTCAAAACTCTGTTAACTTTAAAAGTCCAACTGGAAAAAATCATCAAGGCAAAAGGCGGGATCTTTGACAAGCCGCCGGCTTTCTGTCCTCGTCAAGGCCACTAGTGTTAGTGTCCCTCAGGTAAATTCAAGTACCTGGCTGGAGTTATTGTTGTGCATGATGGGCTCTCGCTTGACTGTTATTGTTGTGGTAAGTGGCAGATCAGCTGTGACTCACATGTTTACAGGTCGGTGTAATGTACTCTCGGTCAACCTTAACAACGTCTGGACATCTCTGATTGATTGATGATTGATTACGATTAAGCCACCCAAAAGGTGGCACGGGCATGAATAGCTTGTAAGTAGTGGGCCTTTTGAGTCATCACCAGTGTCAATAGAGGACATCTCTGTCTGGTTGGCACTTTTATTCAACGGTCAAGACGCCTGGCGCACATATCACCTTTGGGTCACAGGATAAGTTAAATTAAATTAAATTTTTTATTCAGGTAACAGTACACACATAGAAGAGGAGTTACAAACATAAAGTTGGATTTATAGATAGAGCTAGCACATACAATACCTAAAGCCACTAATACGCACAATACGCACAATAATAAGGGGCTGGTGGTTGAGCGGAGAGCACGCTGGACGCATGATCCTGTGGTCCCGGGCTCGATCCCGGGCGTTGGCGGGAAACAATGGGCAGAGTTTCTTTCACCCTAATGCTCCTGTTACCTAGCAGTAAATAGGTACCTGGGAGTTAGTCAGCTGTCACGGGCTGCTTCCTGGGATGTGTGTGTGTGTGTGTGGTTTGGGGGAAAAAAAAGTAGTAACGCTTGAGAGGCGGGCCGAAAGAGCAGAGCTCAACCCCCACAAGCACAACTAGGTGAATACAGCGTTTCAGGCGAAAGTTTATAGATTTTGAACATTTTCTGGCTGGTATTCCCGGCGGGGTGACGGTGTTCGGCGCCGGCTTGGCTGAGAGGTGCCGGGAGTTGGTGGGTCTTGGTAGGTTTCTGATGTGCCCTCAGCCGTGGTGGTCGGCTGGCTTCTGCTCTGCCGGAGGGCACTGGATGACTTTTTCCATTTTTAGTTTGGGGTCGAGTTTTTGGTTTTGCTATCCAGTGTTCTCTTTGTGGGGTGGTGCTCGTCACCCTGAGGGACTCTTGGGGGCTCCCCAATCATCTGTGTTTATTGGCCGCGAGGCAAATTAATTTCCGCTGATAGGCAACATCCATTTCACCATTTGGCTTTGCGATTCACCCTTCATGGGTATGGCAGGGTGCATTCAACCCCACTATCATTGTCACCCCTAAATCAACAACAACAACAACATGTACTCTCTTATTTTCTGTTTGATTTAGCTTTAGTTGATTATGCAATTTGCTTATTGTTATAGTGAATAGAAAGTGCTTAAACTGTATATATGTATTGTATATTATGTTTTTTTTTTTTTTTAGTTCATTTATTATGCACCCCATACCCATCTTGTGGGCGGTAGTGGAAAGGGTTACAGAGGCACATAATGGGCTCAGGGACTGAACCCCACAATTCATTTAGCTAAGCAAGTTACAATCTTGATGAGCTAGTTACAAAATTCAATATAAGTCGTCACATCAACAATGGGTTCGAGATCGACCTCAAGTACAGGTTCTAAATTAAGCAACTGACATATGTGGAGAGCTAGTGTCACAATTGATATGTTTGTCCTGCACACCGCCCCCCCATCCAGTGGGCAGCGGTGGATAGGTTACAATCACTCGGTTATATTATATGGCATGGTATTATTGTGGGATGTAACTGCTGTAATTATTTGATTAAAAATAATAATTTTATTATGTGGATTCCATCTCATGTTGGTCTCCGAATGCATAATAAGGGCTGGTGAGTTAGCAAAAGAATCTGCTTTTAATTAAAGGATAAATTGAATATAACGTTGGATTGTCAATAAGCAGTCTAAGAGCAATAGTACACCAAGAACGTCAACAAAATCTTGTAGATCTCAGGCAGAAGGAAATTGACACCAGTAATTCCATCTATCATCATACTATAATGGAAGAAGAGCCACACATCTATGGATCATCCAATAAAATCAGCAGACTTCTAGATGTTACTACTGCTCGGCTTAGACTCGGTTACAAGTATCTCTGAGAATTCTCATTATCTGTTGATGTAGACCTGACCAAATGTAAACTGTGTCAACAAAATTGTTCGCACACCCTCCGTCACTATGTGATGGAGTGCGAAAAGATACGTGAATTCAGAGACAACTCTATAACAAATGTTCCAGAGATGTGTAAATATTTAATTAAAAATTATCTGCTACCAGAAATTTTAGCAAAGTATCCCCAGTTTACTAACTGTAGGTACAGTAGTGAGTGAGTGATTGTAACCTATTCACTGCTGCCCACTGGATGGGGGACGGTGTGCAGGATATACTTATCAATTGTGATACTAGCTCTCCATATATGTCAGTTGTATAATTTAGAAACTGTACTTGTGGTCAATCTCGAGCCTAATGTTGATGTGACGATGTGCATTTAATTTTGTAACTAGCTCATCAAGATTGTAACTTACTTAGTAGATTGTGGGATTCAATCCTACACTCTACTAATTATATGATTGTATGCCCTTTCCAGTACCTCCCACGAGATGGGTATGGGGTGCATAGTAAATGAACTAAACTAACTCACAAGAAGATACAGTGGGTTTGTGAGATTACATAAGATTGGTATTTTAACATTCTTGCATAGCCACTAATAGGCATAACATTTCGGGCAAGTCCTTAATCTAACAGACAAGTATAAATAGGTAATTTGTAGCAAAATTTGAATAATATTAATAGGTACATTGTAGTAAAATTTGAATTATTAATAGGTACATTGTAGCATAATTTGAATATTATTAATAAATACATTGTAGCAAAATTTGTGTTCAAGATAACAAGTATAAGTTGATAGCAGTGATTACAATGGTGAAGTTGCAAGTCTTAGGCACAAATATTGGGGGAGGTCGTAGCACAAGATACAGTGCGAGTTTGAAGCACTAGGTAGGAAACTATGAGGATGAAATTAGGTAGAGATGAGATGTAGTTAACATATAACTACAATATAAGTTGACAGAGGTGATTACACTAGTGAAGATATTTTACTGTCATCTAATCTTCTAAATCTTCTTAAGTACTAATATTGTGGAAGTGGGTAGTACAAGATAGAGTGTGAGTTTGAAGCACAAGTCCACAAGTCAGCACAAATATGCTACAAGTCTGACAAAGCGTTTGATTACCTCAGTACGACTAAGAACAGGAGAAGCTATTTCACCCACAGGGTTATAAACCCATGGAACCATCTACCCACCTAAGCCATAAATGCCAAAACTGTTAAATTTTAAATTCCAGCTGAAAAAGATCATGTGGATAAATGACACTTCTCAATAACATTTGACAAGCTACCGGCCCTCCTGTCTTCATTGAGACCTCTAGAGTTTTAGTAGCCCTCAGGTCAATTTTGGTAAATTACTCTGCTGGTGCCTTGTCAACCCTGTAGCATACTCCCCCAGAAACCAAGCATTGAATGAAATCAAAACACCTTTTTCTAGTAGCACCCAGATGGCTTCCTGTCTCCCTCCCCTCTTTGTTCGTTGGTTCATTGTAGCTCTTTATCTGCTCCAGAACTGAATTAATAGCTTACACAGAACTGAGCTCTGGGCTGCCTGGTGGTGGGATTTATATACTACAGCTTTACGTTCTAGCTAGTTTAGGCATATTCTTTTGTTTATTTTTAATTGTTTGGGGGGAGTTGTTTGGCAGTTTTGGGGCTTTGAGTCTTGTGAACCCAGCATTTATCTGTAAAGCTTCTCTGATATTATGAATGCTTTCCCAGTGAAATGTTGAAATGTCATTTGTTTTCTGTGCCTCAATATGAAGGGGGGCCAGTTTCTGGTCCCTTGTAGGCCAAATGAAGTCATAAAACTGATGTGACAAGTAGAATGGAGCAATCTCAGGGAGATAGCTACAGGGAGCCATTGAGGATCTACCAGAATGAGGCATTTCATTACATTCAATGCTGGGTTTAAATATTGTAATTTCTCTTACCTATGAATTCTCCACTGTTCTTGTGCTGTATCATATGTATGTGCTTTTGCATTAAGTTTAATTATTATTATTATTATTATTATTATTATTATTATTATTATTATTATTATTGAACAAATCCACAGGAGCCTTGGTGAGGGTTTGAATCTATGTGCTGAGTGTTCCCAGAGGCACTATTGTCAATTATTAATTGTTTAGGTGAGTTGTTTGGCAGTTTTGTGTCTATTATTATTATAACACAGAGAGTAAACATAACGTGATGTGTCAATGAGAAAATCCGTAGGAGCCATGATGAGGGTCGAACCAATGCGGTGGGTGTTCCCACGCACACGCCCTAGTCAACTAGAACCTTTTGACCATGTCATGACCTAGTTGTCTAGGGTGTGTGCATGGGAACATCCACCACATAGGTTCAAACCCTCATTGCTGCTCCTACGGATTTTATTATTTCTGTTATAATTGTTGCTGGTTATACCATTAGCAAAATGATGGAAAAGTTCTTTTGCCTATACATAGACAAGAGACTCACTTGCAGCACCCACATACAACACATAACCAAAAGTCATAATTTCAGAAATTTCTAGTTTTGCCACTGTTTATAGTACTGGACATAAGTTTGACTTTCATTCTATTTCAGGTTAAAATAGTTGTGTTAGTGGTGCAGAGTAACATGGCTAGTCCCAGGAACCTCTATGCTCTTTTTCAAAGTAAGGCTGCTGAATGTCCCCAAAACTTGGCAGTTATATATTTTGAAGGTAAGTAATCCTCATTCAACCTACTATTTTTCTGGAGGGAGCCCCTACGGCTCCTCGGAGCTATCCAGGCTTATAAGGATACCCCTAACTTTTGGCATCAGTCAATGTGGGTGGAGTTCTAGGCCTACCGGGGACCACGGCCAGAACCTGGCCACCTCAGAGAGGCACAAGGAGCAATGGCCTATAGAAATGCACATGTGATTGTGGAACATTCTATATCTGCCATTGACCGGGACAGGCACCCAGAAAGGTAAGTGCCCCAAAACAAACCCCTATTCTGGCGAAAAAAAAAAAAAGACAAATGAGTGGACAGAACTCCCCCAAATGAAAACGAGCAAACAAGCATGATGTCATACGAGCCGCGCTGCACGTCTGCACAGCTCCCCCCTCCCCAGGAGGGGGAAGGGGGGAGTCTCAGACCTTTTTTGTCTGGTGGGGGAGTCTGCCTTGGTGTTCCTTTCCCCTGTTATACTAGGGTTTGCTTTTGTTTGGTGGTACCCCCTTGCTTCGCCCTCTTGAGTGGACACTTCCTGGGGATTCAGCTTTAACAGTGTTGATTGGTAGCTTGGCCACTGGTTAGCAGTACCCTGCCTGGAATTACCCTTAGCAGCCCACTCTAGGGGCCCAGGGAAACCCCGCGGGGGGGGGGGCACTTGGGTCCGATGGATGCGACCCCTGAGTCCCTTCTCGCCTTGTGCGAGTTTGAGGGTTGCTCTATTCCCTTGTTGCAGGGCGACGCTCATTGTTTTTTGCCTCCGTCATACTGCCTGTTGAGTCTGTAACACTTCAACCCTGAGTCCTGTGAGCTCTGTTGCTTGTTTGTGACTCAGTTCACCCAATCTGATGATGACCTTATTCGGGTGCAGGCGGTTCACACGTTGCAGGATAGGTTAAGGTTGTTGCAACGTTCTCGGTAGGTTGCTTTCCCGGGGTGGGGGTGTTGGTCGCTTCGGCCATGGTTCTGTCTGCGCCTCCATGTTCTTCCCCTGCTGTGGTTCATTCGTTCACTTCCAGCTCCTAAGCGTCTGAGGGCTTCAGGGTTGGGGCAGGGTTTAAAGGTTTCTGAGACTCAACGGTTTTGGGGGTTGCCACTTCTGGGGTGGCAATGGAGGCATTAGAGTCTGTTCCTCTAGCCCGTAGCTCTGGGGTCTGACCTGTGGGGCCCATTCTCTTCCTGCTATTTCGGCTACCCCGGCTTTTTCTTGTGAGGTCAGGGCTTTGGAGGATGACTCTCCCCCTGGGGACTGATGTGGAGGCTCCCGGGGTTTGGGAGGAGCTCGCTTGGGCCTTAGGCTCCGTTGGACCCCTCCTAGTTTTTCTGACCCTTCAAGAGGGGCTTACTGTTATGAGGAGTGGGGGTTTTCTTTCCCCCCCCTATGCGTACGAGTTAGATTTGGGTTTGACTCCTCCACGGGTTCGATTCCTCCCCGGGTTCGACTCCTCTCCCTGTTCGACTCCTCTTCCCATTCAACTCCTCCCCGGGTTCGACTCCTCCCCCCCGGGTTCGGTTCCGTGTCCCTGCGAATCCTTCGTTTCTGTCCTTCCTGAGGTTTTCGGCTTTTCGCGTTTCCTGGTTGCCAATTGTGGCAACCAGTCAGTTAATAAAAAATAAGAGTTTAATGTCAGGCGCTCAGGGAGTCTGCCTCCCGATCCATCAGCTGATAGCAAGGAAGCCCACCGTATTAATACCGTCCATATGGCTGGGAGGGGTACAGCTGGGGATGTCTGGTGTGGGGGGAAGAGCCTGGAGGTAGCGAAGAGGAAGTGGGATGGGGGGGGATGGAGGTAGTGGGGAGGATGCAGGATGGGGCAATGGAGTAGTTGGGAGGGTGCAGGATGGGGGGGGGAAGGAGATAGTGGGGAGGGTGACCAACTCTGCTAACCATCTCACTGCTGCCCACCTGCACACACTGAAACCTGCCCGTCCACTGCTGCCCACCTATCCACCCACTTTGCTGCCTGCCCCTCCACCATCCATCCAGTTCCCTCCATCATCCATCCATCCAGTCCAATCACCATCCATCCATCCAGTCCCCTCACCATCCATCCATCCAGTCCAATCACCTACATAGAGAACTACTCCAGAGAACTATGTCCTTCTGAAGATGAGGTTTCCATGCCTGGATGTAATAATTCAGGTGGTGGCGCACCAGAGACTTATAGAATTGTATGACTACCTTCTCCTTAAAGGTAAAGGTATGCTTGATTATTCCTAGGGTTAGCTTTTGTTTACTGCCGCACCCACTTATTGTGCAACTTTCAGTGAGTGATGGATTTTGACTCCAAGGTCTTTTTCTTCATCAGTCTGTTGTAAGGTATTGTTGTTAAGTTGGTAGTTGTGACGTGGATTGTTATGCCCCATGTGCAAGGCCTTGAATTTATTGATGTTAAAAAGCTTTTGCTAGTCTTATGACCATTTGTGGAGTTGATGTATATCTCTGTTAGTTCTCAATATCATTTCCACCTCCCATTTTACCATAAATCTTAGTATCATCTGCAAATTTGATGATGTAGTTTGTAATATTTTCATCTACGTCATTGATGTATATGACAAACAGGGTTGGCCCCAAAATGGACCCCTGTGGCACCCCACTTACCACATTTCTCCAGTCAGATTCATTCCCATTTAGCACGACCCCCTTTGTTTTCTTTGTTTTAATCATTGTTTTATCCATTCCAGTATTCTCCCATTTATTCTATGTGCCTGTAGTTTCCTTACTACTCTTTCATGTGGTTCCTTGTCAAAAGCTTTGGCAAAGTCCATGTAAACTACATCTTCCGGAAGTCCTTTGTCTGAATAGCTGGTTACCGTTTCCAGAAATGATGAGGTTTGTAAGGCAGGATCTATTTTTAATAAACCCATGTTGCATTGATTTTACAAAATTGTTCTGTGTGTGATGATGTCTTTTCTTTCTCCTTTTTGGCACATATCTTTGAACGAGTTCGGTAATAACCTTTTTTAAATTTTCCCTTGGTGCTACCATGGCATGATCACCTACCAGCTTCCTCCAGGAGGTATTTTGCAATTCCTCTCTGATTCTTTGATAAACTAAACTAAACCTTGATAAACTGTATTTGTATATAGGATATATGGAAGCTAGCCAGAATTGCATTTCACCTTTGTAAATGCACATTAACCCTTAAGCTGCTAAGGGGTCCTGAGGAGATTTACACCCCTGTGCGCAAGAAAAAAATTCTTAACTTTTTTCTGGGGAAGCCCCGTCGGCTCCCCGGAGCTATCCCAGGCTGATATGCTAATGTCAGACTTTGGCATCAGTCATGTGTATGGAGTTATTAGGCCTACCGGGGACCACGGCCAGAACTGGGCCCCCTCAGAGAGGCAAGGGGAGCAATGGCCTATAGAAGCCTCTGTGTGGTTGGAGCATTCTATGTCTGCCATCGACCGGAACAGGCACCCAGAAAGGTAAGCGCCTCAAACCAAACCCCTATTCTGGTTAAAATTGCTACCAAAAGCCGAACTAGTGGATAGAACTCCCCAACCGAAAACAAGCAAACTAGTGTGACGTCACACACTGCCGCGCCGCTGTCTGCGCAGCTCCCCCCTCCCCGGGAGGGGGAAGGGGGAGCCCCAGACCCTCCACGCCTGCTACCCACACCTCAGTTCTTGAGGCTGATGCTATAGGCGATGGTCGTGTGCTCTGGCTCCGGTGTCGCTACTGCACTGTGCTTTGCGTGTGGTGTTGGTTTTGTGGGTGCGAGAGCCAGGAGTTATCTTCAGTACTCGGGCTGCATGCGCCTAGGGCTGCCTTCCCTAGGTGCCCTGTAAGTACTGCCCTTGGGGCTTGGGGCCACCTTCCACAGGCTCCTCGGGGTCTGCCTCTGCTGGTCCGTTTTACCTTTCGGTTTTTTGGCCACCTGTTGGGCTCTTGGGTGTTCTGTTCTCCCTTGTTACCGGCAGGTAAGAGGCAGTTTGCACTGGTAGGAGCGCAGGGTGCTGCACAGTTTGCATTCCCGACATCGCGGCCGGCTCTGTTCCTTGGGGTTCGCTGTCCTCTTGTGGGGTTTTGTTTTTCTTTTTGTTTTTGCCTGGTGGGGGGTTCTGTCATTTTATTCAGTTTGTTTTTGCCTTTCCTTTCGTCTCCTCGTTTCGTTGTGGCCCCTTCACCGTTTCCTCTTCGGTCCAGGATTGTTTTTCCAAGGCACTTTTCTTGTTGGCTTTGGCCTCTGGGGGTCGGGTAGGGGAGCTTCATGCTCTTCTCCGGTGCAGGGGTTTCTGCTCTTTTGGTAGTGGTGATTGTTTTGTTTGCTTGCAGCCGTCTCCTTCTTTTCTGGCGAAGAATGAGACTGCTGCGTTTCGGAGGGGTCTATGGGTGGTTGATGCTTGGTTGGTCAGGCCGGGGTGCATCATGTTTTGTGTCCGGTTGCGGTGCTTCGCCGTTATTTGCGCGCCACGGCTTCTGTGTCCGGGGATGCGCTGTGGGTTGATCCGGTTTCCCTTCTTCCCTGTTCGCGGGTTCGGGTCTCCCAGGTCGTCCTCAGGGTTATTAAGTCCAGCCAGCCTGTGGTCTATCCCCGTGCCCATGACGTTCGTAAGTTCGCGGCTCTTGCTGCCGTCTTTGGGAATATGTCTTGGTCTGATATTCGGGCGCGGGGATTTTGGCGGTCGAACAGGGTCCTGGCTGCTCGTTACCTTGTGAATGTCCCTGGGCCCCGTTGGGCCTGCGTTGCTTTGGGTCGACGGTTGCAGCCAGTTGTCTCGGCTTCGAGTTGAGGAGTGAGCGATGACCGCCTCCCGGGTATGTTCCTCTTTTTTTCCGTCTGTGGGTAGTTAGCTCCGGGGAGCTGACGGGGCTCCCCCCAGAAAACCAGCGTTGAATGTAATGAAACGCCATTTTCTGGGTGAGTCCCGGAGGCTCCCCGGCATCCCTCCCTCCCTCCGGTCGGCGTTTTTTTCGCGTTTTTGACATCCAGCCTCAAGAACTGAGGTGTGGGTAGCTGGCGTGGAGGGTCTGGGGCTCCCCCCTTCCCCCTCCCGGGGA